GCCAAAAGCACGGGCTGCAAGATCACAGACTGGACTCCTGATAGGGTGCGGCATCCCTCACACGTTGCGTATCTTGGGACGTGTGGGTCATCCTTTAATCATCTAAAACTTGGGAGTGACAATAGCACCAAAAGATGTACTCATCTGTAGAAACTAAAGATGATCCTGCACGCGAAGTGCTCAGCATGGAGGCCGCCATGTGGTGAACGTAATAAATGCTAATCATTATGATTGGACAGTCATTTAGGAAAATAGCTAAACTTATCAGGATAATTTATTTAAAACCATTTATACAAAGCACTTGGCACAGTGTTCAGCACAGGGTGAATGTGAATTATATATTAACCATCACTATTACACAGTTAGTTGAAAAACATCTAATTTTAGTATATCAGAATAGGGTAAAATCTGCACCAATCTGAGTAACTCCAGGCCTAAGTATATCTGTATGTAAGACTTTGAAGATTGTTCTTATGGACGCTTGTACAAACCTTTACAGTAATTAGAGAATCTGGTGTACAGACCCTAATCTTCAGTGTGGTTCTGAGCAATATGAGAGGTGACTTTTATTACTTCACTTCCAAACGCTGAGGTTCAGAAGGACTGCGAGTCACCTGACTAGTTCGTCAAGTTGGCTCTTGGGACTAACAGCCCGAGCCTGTCCACTTAGGAGAAGGAGTAGAATGGGGCTGGGTTTCCTTGAGTGCCTAATCAGAGCCTACATTTGTTTGGTTCTACATCCAGCTGCAATGTTACAGCCTGAATTGATTTCAGGGTTGGCTAATTTCCACAGAGACTTTTGATGCATCTAGCAATTTCAGAAAAAAAAATGGAAAAAAAAAAAAAAACAAATCTCTAAAAAGAGACATTTTTCTGTGGTCTTTTCTTCATCAGAAATTAACTGCCATCCCTGTCTCCAAGTGCATGCTTGTTTGCAGCTGGACTTAAGGTGCAAGGTTCATACTCCTTATGTATTAGCCACATCTGGCTTCCTTAAATGGACTGACGGCATCTGTAAGAGTAGGCTGATAAAAATAGCAACCAGAGGGTCAAGAGGGAGTTTAGTAACCAGACCTCTCTCACATATGCTTTTGTTTCCACTGGAACCCTTCTTCTCAAGGACACCAAATGTCAAGGTATGCATTTCTGGAAAATGGAAAACACAGTATCTTAATTGGGGTGTTACCTTAATAATATATGAAATAAAAGGCAATTTGTATTCAAAGCTCATTTTTAAGAAAAGTATTAATGTGAGGGCAACTTCATTCCAGGGAGAATCATTCAGCTTATACAGGCCCTAAAACTGGGACAGGAACCAGAGTCCAGCAAGACAAGCCACGGCAGTCCCGCATGGGAGCTCTGGCCGCCAGCTACTGTGGGCCAACTGACCTTGTGCTCCACCATGATTCTTTCCAACCCATGTGATACATATAGCTAAAGCCTAGAATATCAATAATACCAAGGGTAAATAGCAAAGCTGTGGTAGCTAAAGATATCTGTCATTGAATAACTGTGGAAAAAGCACCATGAGATGTTGTCAGGCCCTGGCGACTCATGCCTGTCATCCTACCTACTCAGGAGGCTGAGCTCTATGGATCAAAGTTCAAAACCAGCCCAGGCAGGAAAGTCCATGAGACTCTTATCTCCAATTAATCAGCAAAAAAGCGAGAAGTGGAGCTGTGGCTCAAGTGGTAGCTGCTAGCCTTGAGACAAAAAGTTAAAGGACAACCAGTCCTAGAGTTCAAGCTCCAGGACCAGCATGCACACGGGCGCGCACACACACACACACACCCATCACTAGATGAGCATGAGGGACAGAGGGTCAGAGCTAACGAAAAGCTCCCATGGAGACTGGAGGGCCTTCGTGGATATCTGAACTGACCTGTGGCTGTAAACCCTTCTCTGAAAGCCATCTCGCTGAGTAGTATGTCCTTCAACAATCTCTGTGCATTGGGGACTTGAAGACTTAGATGGTTTATTTTTAATGCCAAATCCACTAGAAAGGGGCAGACTTGACAATTTTTTGAGCATCTGAATGTTTCCAAAGCTGAGATTGTAAAGGCTGTGAAGGAGAGGCTTGTTTACTTCTTGGTACATCTGGGTGTCTGCTTTCAAGGTCATTCAGGGAAATGTATGACAAGTGGTGGAGACATATTAACTTCTAACAAGTCCTAGCCATGCACACACATTATTCAGTGCATCTAATTATCATAGGAACATCAAGACTCATACGTTTCTGTAGAAATTGTTTGCCCTAAGGTGTAGTCTTTTCACATCGCCTACTTCAGTCTCTCCACCTAAAAGTGGAGAATGCTAATAGCTTCTTTTCTGTGTCTTGCTGTTTTATTTGGTTAATAAGGCTAAATAACAAATGATGACTGAACATTCTTTAAGTTTGTTGACTGCAGTGTCTTTGATGTTTATATGGACTCTGAATGTAGACTGGGTTCTGGCATGTTCCTTGTAAAATGTTTCTTTCTGCTCTGACCTGGTTCAGTAACTATTTCTCCTTTGAATTTATTTCCCCAAGGCTTCCTGCTGTGTACTAGTTGTATACCCTTGACCTTGTGGTCTGAAACTTTCTTCCCCTTGGACAGTCCTGCAAAGGAAAAGGGGTGTAGGATGGAGCTGTGGTGCCTGCTTCTTTACGAGTAGCTGCTAGTTCATAGCTAATACAGAGCTCATATGTTCTTCAGTGAAAACTGCTTTTTTCTTGGGTTGAGCTGTTATAACTAATTCCAGAAGATGCTCCTGAGAGAGGCAGAAACTGTTCATAAGAGAAGCTAAATAATTCCGTGAGAAACATTATTAGCCTTCTGTGGGCTCAGTTCCACCTCTGTCAGTGCCCAAGTGCTGAGCCTTGAAACTAAGTTCACGGCATCCCTGGGAACAAGGCCCTTGGGGGATACAAGTGGAACAACCGCATAGCTTTCAGCGCAATCGCCACTCTCCCTCTGAAAAACCTATGCTAGTAAATACGCTCGCATACTCTTTGTGAATGCCCCTTCTGTAAAGATGGCTCTGGGATCCCCATCTAGAGTCTGCCTTTGGTGGAAACAAGCAGCTTCCTTCCTGGAAAGAGCATTCCTGAAAAATTGGGCTCAGAAGTTGAATTGAATCATTTATCAAAGCGGATGGCAGTTCAGATTCGACCCCTAAAGGAGCAGATCTCTGTTGGGGGTGGCCACCCACAGCTGCCTGTGGAGGGAGTTTCTCCACAGCTGCAGATGCTACTCTACCCTGTAGTTTAGCAGCTTGTAGAAGGGAAATGTGAGTTTGCTCCAGGCAGGATTAGACCACCAAGCTCTGATCACCACTGTCTGCTTTATATGCAAGATCTGACTCTCAAGGAGCTAAAATCAAAGGGGTTAGCACAGGTCAAAAGATAAAGTAAGCAGAAAAATAGTGGAGCCCCAAATTCCCGAGTTCACAGTACTAATTAATTGACACTTCTTTTAATTGCAAAACACTAACTCTAATTTATAAACCTTGTGCTGTGATTGCTTTTGGTGCTTATTTCTTAAAATGGCTTAAGTGAAATACTGGGTATTTTTCATACTCGAAACATAATCAATAACAACAACAGGAAGTTCTTGGGACTATCAAAAAACTTAGAAACACACCCCTAAGTGCTTACTCTTTTTTTTTTTAATGCCAATCCAGGAGCTGAATGCAGGACTTGGGTGGTGTCCTTGACCTTTACTGCTCAAGGTTAGCACTCTACTACTTGAGCCTCAGCTGCACTCCCAGGCTCTGGGGTGATTAACTGGAGATAGGAGTCTCACGGACTGTCCTTCTCAAGCTGGCTTTGATACATGATGCTTAGATCTCAGCCTTCTGAGTAGCTGGGATTCCAGGCATGAGCCACTGGTGTCCAGCTAAATACTTACTCTTTAGAACAGATACTCTTGCTGAAATTCATACCATTTTTAATGTTATCTGAAGAATATGAATGGGAATAGACTCAAAAAGGAGAATAGAAAATTCAGAGAGGAACAAATGAAGAATCTGACCTACCCAAGTTCATGAATGCTGAGAAAACATCTAGTCCAGCCCCTCTACTTTGCTGGCTTACCTGCTCCAGGTCTCAAGGCTAACTGGAAACAGAATACCCTGAATTGAGCTCAAATGACATGCTAGCTGTTTACGATCCCTAATCTGATGTGTTAAAAGTGCAACAAATTCTTAGGTAACTTGTCTGAAGCCACATGACTGGCAAATGGCAGTCATTCAAAGACAGGCTTTCCACTCCCCTTCCCTCCTCGCTGTCATCAGACATGAGGCTAGTTAGCCTTGCTCTGGTTGTTATACGGGTCACCACATACAAAGCTCTTAGCAGAACACTGTAAGTCCTTAATACATTAATAGTACTAGGAATAGCGACTGACATGTATGGGAAAGACAGTAAGTTAGATTGCAACCCTAGCATATACAAGTTGACTTCATCTCTTATCTCCTCCACCCATTTAGAAATCCAGTTTCCTTCAAAAGAAGACATGGTCGAATCCCCCCTGTCCCGTCCCCCGCCACATCTTGTCTTGTAGTAGGAGACTAAGTTCCCTGGGGACCAGAGAACCCAGACCTGGTGGAGGGCTTGCACAGGATGCAGAGACGGACCCCGTGTGCCCACTCTTGCGTGTGATTGCAGCTTCACCTTAGTGTGCGAACTTGCTAGAAGGCCAGACGTGAACCAAAGGCAGCAGTAACTACGGTGGCCAACTCCGGGGTGCAGCCCCAGGGGAACTGGGCAGAACAAGATGGGGTTGGGGACAGAATAAAGCCAGCACTGGGCGCTTTCCACACACTACTCACTTCAGGGAACCTGTCCTTCTCGGGGCCCACTGGGCACACACTTGAATGGCCGGCTCTCTGGCCACCCCCCCTTCCCCCCGGGTCCGGGCGGGGGGGGGGGGGGAGAGTGGCCAAGTCCGTCCCTTCCCCATTAGAAAGGCGCTGGCCTCGGCGGCGTCCCGCTGACCCCCTCTGCTCGCCCTCCGCAGGCTGGGCGGCCCCGGCACCTTCAGGACCATGCAGCGCCGGCACACCACCCTGAGGGAGAAGGGCCGCCGCCAGGCCACGCGGGGCCCGGCCTACATGTTCAACGAGAAGGGCACCAGCCTGACGCCGGAGGAGGAGCGCTTCCTGGACTCGGCCGAGTACGGCAACATCCCGGTGGTCAGGAAGATGCTGGAGGAGTCCAAGACACTCAACTTCAACTGCGTGGACTACATGGGGCAGAACGCGCTGCAGCTGGCCGTGGGCAACGAGCACCTGGAGGTGACCGAGCTGCTGCTCAAGAAGGAGAACCTGGCGCGCGTGGGCGACGCGCTGCTGCTGGCCATCAGCAAGGGCTACGTGCGCATCGTCGAGGCCATCCTGGGCCACCCGGCCTTCGCGCAGGGCCGGCGCCTGGCGCTCAGCCCGCTCGAGCAGGAGCTGCGCGACGACGACTTCTACGCCTACGACGAGGACGGCACGCGCTTCTCGCACGACATCACGCCCATCATCCTGGCGGCGCACTGCCAGGAGTACGAGATCGTGCACATCCTGCTGCGGCGCGGCGCGCGCATCGAGCGCCCGCACGACTACTTCTGCAAGTGCACGCAGTGCGCCGAGCGCCAGCGCCGCGACGCCTTCAGCCACTCGCGCTCGCGCATGAACGCCTACAAGGGCCTGGCCAGCGCCGCCTACCTGTCGCTGTCCAGCGAGGACCCCGTGCTCACCGCGCTGGAGCTCAGCAACGAGCTGGCCAGGCTGGCCAACATCGAGACCGAGTTCAAGGTAACGCACGCGCGCGGGGCCTGGAGGGAGCCGGGAGGGGGCGTGCCCGAGGCGGGAGGGGCGTGCCCGGGACTGGAGGGGGCGTGCCTGGAGCGGGAAGGGGCGTGCCCGGGTCGGAGGGGGCGTGCCCGGGACTGGAGGGGCGTGCCTAGAGCGGGAGGGGCGTGCCCGGGTCGGAGGGGGCGTGCCTGGAGCGGGGAGGGGCGTGCCCGGGACTGGAGGGGGCGTGACTGGAGCGGGAAGGGGCGTGCCCGGGTCGGAGGGGGCGTGCCCGGGACTGGAGGGGCGTGCCTAGAGCGGGAGGGGCGTGCCCGGGACTGGAGGGGCGTGCCTAGAGCGGGAGGGGCGTGCCCGGGACTGGAGGGGCGTGCCCGGGCCGGAGAGGGCAAGGCTACAACTGCTAAGTGTGGCCAGGATCTGGCGTTCCACAAACCTTGTGGTACAAGATGAGATGTGGTGGCTCAGCTCTGCCCACCTCCCCGCGGAGCTGAGGGAGGACTCAGCTCTGCCCCCATCTCAGGGAGGACTCAGCTCTGCCCCCATCTCAGGGAGGACTCAGCTCTGCCCCCATCTCAGGGAGGACTCAGCTCTGCTCCCATCTCAGGGAGGACTCTGCTCTGCCCCCATCTCAGGGAGGACTCAGCTCTGCCCCCATCTCAGGGAGGACTCTGCTCTGCCCCCATCTCAGGGAGGACTCTGCTCTGCCCCCATCTCAGGGAGGACTCTGCTCTGCCCCCATCTCCGAGGTTGTGTGGTTTTGACTTGCCTCTCCCAGCTCTCGCTCTGAGCGCTGTTGGCAGGCTTCAGGACACAATGTGTGTGAGAGACAGGGTCTCACTGGGCAGCTCAGGCCAGCCTCTGCCTCCTCCTCAGGGCTGGGTTACAGGTGTGAACTACCCGGCCTTTCTTCCGCACAGCAAGCCACTGCCAGTGTCCTGTCAATGGACCTCAAAGGCAGCACAAAGAAGGGAAAATAACAGTGTCTCCAGCCAGGCACGGGCAGCTCACACCTGTCATCCTCGCTACTCACGAGCTGGAAATCTCAGGCCTGCAGGTCAGAGCCAACCTGAGTAGACAAATCCCAGAGTCTTATCTCTAAATAACCAGCAAAAAATCTCAACCTGGAGGTTTGGCTCAAATGACAGACCATCAACCATGAGTGAAAAAAAACAGACAAGTGAGAACTCAAGGCCAAGTTAAAACCCAGAACAAAAAGAAAAAGAACTGTCCCTATAGAGTTAGCTACATCATGCCAGTACATGAGCCCAAGGCACCCTGAGACCACCTCCACCTCCCAAGGCCAGCCCAAAGAGTGGAGGTGCAGCTCCAGAGCCATTAGTCAAGAGTGATCCTGTGTCTTTCTGCCCACTGACACTGCTGCTGGAAAACTGGGACCCAGTGTGAGAAATTCTTTTAACGTAGTATTTAATTGTAAAATCAAACGTTTATAGTTGATGCTTACTATATGCCAAGCATTAATTACCTTGCCTATGTGATCTTATTTAACTTCTTCAACAACCATGATTACGTACAAAGCCAGAGATAGGGGGAGTGGCCAGCTGCTAAGTAGGAAACTTGTTCTAGACACCCAGACACCAGAATCCACTCCAGTCATTCCAACAAACAAGCGCCCAGAGCCTTGTGCTTGGACTGAGCTGCTAAGCTTTACTTGCTTGTATCTAAATGACAATGGGGCCCTTCACTGCAGAAAAGTGCCTGAGAGAATGGGAACTACACCTAAGCTAATTATTTCTCATTCTCTCATTTGATCAGAGACTACTACGGTCTAAATGTCATGCAACACTCAAAGATGTGTCACACACAGAGATGACAATCAAACTGAGAAAAGATGTCACCTACAAGTAAAAAGTACATTGCTCAAACAAGGTGTCAGTTTGTGAGCTGTTCCCGCATGGGACCAAGGATGAGTACCACCACAGAGAAAGGGGGGAGGCATCCCTGAGAGCCACTTCATTCAGGGAGGTCTCACAGGAGTAAATGGAACAGGACTGGGTCTTACTGCACAGGAGGACTGGGATGTGTGGGGAAAGCAAAGTACCTGGAGGCATCTCGATGCAGCAAGGGGAGAAGATCCCAGAGCAGGGAGAAAAGCAGCTCCCTGTGACCAGAAGCACAGACTTGCTACTGAAAAGATGAGCTGGAGCACACCTCAGAGGGCTGGTCAGGTCAGGCTGTGCGCTTCGAATGTTATACTGCAGGAAATGGAGGTCCACTAGAAGTTTGTGATTAAGGAATTAGAAGTGCTGAAAGCTAGAGGTCTGGAAATGCATCTGGCTGGTAGACAAGATGGATGAGAGGATTTGGTGAGACTCATGTGAGGGAGAGTTCAGATGTGCATCCGTGAGACCATGAGTGAGGAGTGGATCAGCTAGGCTCGCAGGAGGATTGAGAAAAGTACCAGTGAGAAATACCTATCTTGCAGTTAAGCTTATTTTATTCCATCTGGCCCTCCAAGTTGGGCCCCTCCCTGAACTGGAGCTACTTCCATAATTCCTGCAGTGTCCAGGGCCTCACCTAGAAACTTGGGGGATGGAGCTGGGGAGATTATCCAAAGAACTTCCCCAGATTATAGCTGTTCACCTTTTCTTTCCTTATTTCACTCACCTACTAACCTCACTGGAGGCTAAGGATTTTCCTGATGAAGATTGGGAGTTTTGTGTGTACACAAGTCTTCAGACATAGACTATGTGGAAGAAATTGCTAAATCCATGAACATAGATAATTCTGGTAAAAAAAAAATGGTTTTAGGACCAGATTATCTAATTATCTCACATCTGCCATCCTAAATAAATTTTGGTAGACTACTATTTATAAATACATCTGAGCCATTTGTTTCCTTTAGTAAAACCTAATCCCACATACTTTGATATACATAATATCTAACATTGGAAGCTTTTTGAAAATATTTACTATGAGATTTTAAAGTAAATTATGAAAATTGTGGACAATAAAACACTACTACTAACCTAGTGACAAATCCTTTCTATAATGCAATAATTTACTCAGACTCAGAGACAAAGACATTTGCTGGCTATTAACATCACTCTAGTTACCTTCGTTTGAAATGTCTTTTAGATTGCCAACAAATGGTGTGTTATAAATTAGCATAACTGTTCCTTTAGAACTTTATTACTTATTCAACTATCATTGCCTGTGTATTCCCTGACATTATAAATCTCAAGGAGACGCTTAGCAGGAAAGAAGTCAAACTGTAATAAAAGAATAATGAGCAAGCAGGTGGATGCTACAATGCGCTCTTGATGAATCTGATCTAGTTCTAAGGGACCACGTATTGCTGCCTGTGTAATCACATGTTATAGACAGCCTGACGTCATCAATTATGTAAAAAGCTATGGAATCTCATTGGAAATGTGTCATCCTCCACTTCCTTTCAAACACTCATTTTGGAGTGACTCTTTCTGACTAGGGAACAAAACTCATAATAAGCTTGAATTCCACTGCCTGCGTCATTTTTTGTGAGTTATTTTATTACTGAAATAGAGGCAAGTCATTGACAAGAAGGGTAGCCCAGGTCAAGTTTCCAGGAAATTGCAGCTGTAGTCACGTGGCTCCTAGCAAGCCACTCTTTTTGGTTGGAAAATTATATATCTGCTCAAGAATTTATGTCTCTCTAATCTTCTTGGATCAGTAATGATTTCCCAGTACCTTAAATGGTACCAGGTAAACTAGTAAGCATTCCAGATGTACTTGATAAAGAGAATGAAGGAAACTAGAAGGGCAATCGTTTCAGCTGATGGTTTATAGATTTAAGAGAGGTGTTTGATGGAAATGGTAAAATTGAAGAGCTCTGAGAAAGACTCCAGCAGGAAAAGGGGCTAAAGCGCATGTGTTAAATAACTGAGGGCCAGCACGTGATACATGGTGCTTCCCAGTCTTACTTAAAATGGAGCTTGGGAGAACTGTCAACATTGACAGTTACATTTGGTTAACCAATTCATCTATTCTCTAGGAACTACAGAGAGGGAATACTGGTCTGAGCTGGACTACTCAAAGTTCCTCATCCAGCAGAGTAATAGTCTCTCCTTCTGTAGGGGCATCTGGAGTAGCTCCGCTGGCTTACAGATCCTGCCACCGAGAGCACAGTGAGGCCTGTGCAGCTCTGCTGAATCCGGCTGTTTGGTTTTCTTAATGGGTCATCCTGATAGAACGACGCAGGGTCCCTCTCAGTCCCAGGATGTCTTCCTAGTCAAATTCCTTAGCAGGGTATCTGTGTATGCTGATGATCTGTAGTAGTGATGTTTCAAGTGATTAGAGAGTCAATCTTTCCTCTAACTCCTCAGAGTTATGGTGGCAGCTATGCCTCAGTGGGGACATGAAGCAAGAGTGACAGGAGAATACTATGAGTCAAGTTAGGGCATAGGAAGAAAGAAAGCAGGATATTTTGCAGTTACCTTTCTTGCATGCTCACACGCTTTAGTTTAAAGCCTCCAATACTCGCATGTTAAGGAACTGTGGAAGCCCAGCCAGCACTGTATCACCATTATTTAACATCAGCTTGTTCTGAAAACCAGCAAAGCTGCTTACGAGAAGGTCCTTCCTGTTGACAAGGAGCCAGCACAGGGGTTGTGATTTGCTCTTTGGTCACGGCAAGTTATTCTTCCAGACCTCAGAGGGGATGAGTGGGGGTACCAAGCTGAACTGGTGGCTTCATCCTGCTTCAAGTGTTAATGACCTGTTTGTCAATAGACTGTTAACCAAATATATTATGAAAAACAGATGATGAATTATGGATCAATGTTTGTGCTGTCATTTTCAGACCCGTTCTAAAAAACCCTCTGGGGCTAAAATACTACAGATTAAAATTGCAAATAGTGATAAAGCAGACCAATTTGCCACCTGCTATGATTCTAGTGTGATCCCATTGTGGAAGGTAAAGATGTTGAGGTGATGGTTTGTGATCTGCTTGCAAACTTCTCACAATGGAAGAGACAGAAGAGGAGGAGGAGTGGCTGTGTTTG